CAGCAGAAAAATGGTGCGGAAGGATAACTCTCAACCGAGACAAACATTCGGAAAGCTATCCAGACCACTGACTCCTACATTGTGTGGCAAGATGAAAGATAAATGGAGCTTGTGGAGAGTCCTGCCAGGAGTACGATCAGTACAGAAAGGTGAAGCTCCTCATCAAAAAAGACGTCATCTTTCCCATTATGTTAGTTAGCTACTAGCGACCACAGGGGCCAGGACAAACTGCCTTTCCCTCTTCTCAAAAACAGAAATGTCTCTGTTCTACTTTATCATACATTTTGCATCCCCTTGTCCATGTGTCCTGGTTAGAAATGAGTGAGAAATTACAAAGTTTACCAGGATATTTTAGCCTTCACCTGTATCTGCTACCAAGACACTCAAACTTGGCTACACGCAGAATACACAGCACGCCAATAAACATCAGAGTGGTTGAATAGCACTGGGCTGGAACTTGACATTCTAAAAGGCTATACGAAGGGTTTCTTCAATAGTAGCCAAAAGACAGCTTCTAAAACAGATTGCCAGGGTATGAATAGATCTGACAGGCTCCTGAGCAGCTCAACGAGTAACAGCGCTTGCCCGAATGCAGGTTGAGTCAGTAATCACAGAGTCTCAGTCGTGTTACTATAGCCGACTGAGACTGGGATTCCGCAGGCAGTGTTGTATAGTTGTATAGGCTGAGCAGTGCTGAGGTTAGTGGTCTGGGCTCTCTCGGCTTGCGGGCCCTTCTGCAATCAGCACTAAGCCTCTTGAGCAAGGATCTGGGAAAGGGACGTTTTAAAAGACAAGTGGCTCGAAGTTGGACAGGTCAGATGAGGCCACCTATCCTTTCTCATTTTCCCCTGTGAGCGGTTTCTAGGGTTTGTAACTGCGACTGCCCAAGCTTAACTGTCGCTTTATGACAAAAAAAGAATTGTTGATTCTCAGCTTATATAAACAAATAGCATCTGGCATTAGAAATCAACCTTTTTGGCAGGCATTTTATTCAAACATATATTGAACGGCGTGCATATCTTTTAGTGTTTTATTTATATTAGAAACTACACCCGTATTTTCATGATAAATCAACTTTTTGACTCAGTTTATCAAAGGTTATACATGAATTTGGAACCAACTGTACATTGCAAATAAATTTCTTAGAGGAAAATTGTTTCTTCATTATTAAAGAAACTGACTTATCTAGTTAAATTAAGCTTTAATTATGCTGCACTGCTGCTTTAAATTATTCAATAGGCTGTCCAAAATTACCATTATAATACTGTTGTGTGTGTGACTTGTTTCTTTCAAACAAAAGGTCCAAAGATACACTATCCTAAAATCAATGTTTAAAAATCACTTATATCACAACTTGAAGACAATCTGAGCTCAGATCACTTTAGGCCAGAGAAATTAAGTCTTTCCACACTGACCAAATTACTTACAAAAAAAAACAATTCAATTTACAATCACTGCAATGGCAGTCTGCTCTGGTAGCCTCTTGGATGTCAAGATGGAACTCTTTCCATCTACTAATTCTTTCATTTGGCTGTTTGTCACCACTGTCACAAAAATATTGAATCTTGTTTCCTGTCCCCTTATAAGGGAAATACATCCAGTTACCTTCCTTCTGAAAACATTCCCCTACGAGGAAGTTCTAAAATGAACAAATAAGGTTTGATACAGTAGCTTTAACACAACGATACATCCCGAAGACGGGCGGATGTCCTGGTTAGTTTTCAGGACACAAGGAAAACGCTTTACAAAAAGCCCCAGTTGTGAGCATGATGGATAATGCGATAATGTTGCGCAGGACCCCAGTATCGCCACCCACAGGAGTTTAGTGATGGAGATATAGCTCACGCGCACACACAGACCCGTCCCAAATCTGCCTGGCAACAGCACCCCGAAAGGGCGACGGTCACCACTGGCATGGAGGAGGAGGACCCTGAAAGATGGCACTTGGGGATGTCTCGGGGTGTCGCCCCCGTAGAGCCGGCTGCGCTCTTCAAACGCACTGGGGAGCCCACGCGATACAGACATGCACGGTCACAGGACAGCTGTTGTTTCTTTTTTTCTTTCAACATCATTTACAAAAACCACCCCCCCCTCCCCCGAACAAAAACAAGGTATTAGCAGTTATCTGACTGTCGGGCTCAGAGGCCGAGGGGCAGCCGGGTGAGGGTTACAGCGTGGGGGGCTTGAGCCCGTATTTCTTGGCCACCTCTGTCTGGGCGTAGGCAGCGTCGCACAGCGAGTACAGGTGAGCCATCTCCATCTCCGACTTGGCAAGGTTGATAGCGCGGTTGAACATGTCGATGGCTTTGTCAAGGTTGCCCCTGTGAAAACATTCCAAACCGGGTGGCGTCAAACCACGTGCAACACAAGCTATTTACACATAAATTGTAAGAAGAACATCAGAACGGTTTCAAGCAAGAGGAAGCTGTTCAGCTCAGCTAGCTTGTTTGGCAGTTGGCAGCTAATTGTTCCAACTCCTCTCAATCATGAGAAACCAGGATATGAGCTTCACCAACATGGCTGGAAAGCTAGTTCCACACTCCCCCCACCCTTTGGGTAAAGAAGGGACTCTCACTTCTATATAATGTTTGTAGTTCTTGCAGATATTTTACAAGTATTTTTTCTAGGCCTATTGTTTACTTCCAAGTTTACAAGATTTATTTCCCAGACTGACAACATCCAAGATCACATTCTCTCCACCATGCATGTACTACTATACCTCCTCCCTGCTTGCCTACCTTTTCTGGCTCTCCTCTTTCTAGTTTCTCTCAACATGACACCACACACCTTAGTGAACTGGCATTGCATATGAAATCCACCACCTTTAATTGGATTCTTATGGTTTTATTTCAATCTTGTTTTTCTGTCCTGTGATTCTCATCATATACCCTATATAGCCCAATATCCAACCTACCTTATCTTGCAAAACTTTTAGAACGTGCTGTGCCATTTCAATGAAATAACCAACATCTTCAAACCCTTCCAAACTGGTTTCAGACAATCTCAGCACAGAAACTGCCCAAGTTAAATTCACTAATGATCTTCTTACGGCTTCTAATTGTGGTTCCCTGTCTATCCTTATTCTCCTTGACTTTTGACAGACTTTTGACACAGATCACCAAGTCATCTTTCTTGTATTGAGACTGTTTGGAGTTTCTGATATTGCTTTTGAAATGTTTCAACTTGTATCTTACTGTTTATCAATGCCTTATCTTTCTTGAGGGTTTCAGTTGTTAAGTTGGGTTCGTGAAGTCTGGTGTTCCTCAGGACTCAATACTGGGTCCCCTGCTATTCAGCATTTACATGTTCCCACTTGATCAGCTATTAAGATCACATGGTCGGCACAGAAATGATGATTCAGGTGACACTCAAATCTATGTCCATACTAAACCTGACACTGAAGCAGATGTTTAAGATCCTCTGATATTGCATCCCTGACAAACTTCTGGATGATCCAAAATTTCCTTAACGTGAACTGCAACAAAGTCTGAAGTCATGCTTCTCGGTACCTCCCATCAACTTCCTAAAGCCAATGAAGTAACCTTACATATGGATGGCACTACACCTGAATTTAAATCTAAACTGAAGAATGTGAAGGTGATATTTGATGTTATCTGACTAAATTTTATTTTTTATTTTTGTGTGCACAACAGTGTTAATATGATTCAGATTCTGAACTTGTAACTAGAAGGTGAGGAACCAAGCTGCATCCTTCGACTTCACTAACATGGCAGCAGAAAAATGTCCAATTCTTCCATCTCAGAAATATTGCCGGCTTATGTCCTATGTTTTCTCTCACTATAACAGAAAAGCTGGTTAATACATTTGTCTATTCTAAAATTGATTACTGCAATTCCCTACAAGCTGGAGTAACAAAATCCACACTAAAAAGAATCTGGCAGCAAGAATCCTGATCAGGTCGCATGCGTCCTTGCACTGGCTTCCTATTAGGATGACTGTAAACCTCAAAATCCTTATGCTCAACTTTAAGGCTCTGCGCGGCTTGGCACCTCAGTACCAATCCGACGTATCTTCCTGCTCCCCACCTTGCAACCTCAATTCATCTGATTCTGGTGTCCTGTTTGTCCTCTGGTGTCTGTCTGCTCCTTGCATCTTCTGCTACATTTCTAATCTCTTGTGTTTCTGTGTGCTAATTTTATCTCCTGTTACCGTTTTAGTTTAACTTTCCCCCCCCCCCCACTTTTCCTGTAAAGAGCTTGAAGAAGGTACTATTAATGGCGATCCATGACAAAGTTTATCATAAAAGAGTCAAAACCCCTCTTGTGAGTTCTCCTTTGTGCCCACCAGGTGGCAGAGTATTACACACTGGTAGCAGTGCATTACATACTGGGATGACACCTTGTCCTGGTTTAAATAGAAAATCCCAAAAAAACCTACATCATCAAAGGTACACACGTGATACATGCAGAGAAGAGACAGCCCTCACCTCTGGACTTCAATGGTCCCCATGGTTTCGTAAGCAAAGTCACACTTGTTGTCGATCTCGATGGCTTTGCTGATGAGCTCCAGGCCTTTGTCAAGGTCCTGCTTCCATTGCAGTTGCAGCAGCCTGAGCAAACAAGGGAGGAGAGTTACGACGCAGGCAGCTTTTACTGCGCATCACCAGCTGAGCAGCACGATCCCTCTCTCTCTGCACCGATCCCTTGCGAATATTGAGACCCAGCTGTAGATCATATCACACACCAAAAGTATAGAGTACCAAAACTCCACAATAAACACCAGAAAACAGCAGCTAAATAGCAAAGGAGCTAGAAGGGTGTTAAGAGACACTGCGGGTCAGTACACAACTTGAAGATGGGGCAAAATGTCAGAGCTCTGCATCAGATTGCTTATTGCAAGAGCCTGCCATTCTTCTTCCTCCCACTGGGAACGGGAAAATGTGGGGCTAACATCTGACGGACCTGAGGTGTGGGCTCACCCTTTGTGGACATATGTGGTAGCGTTGTCGGGTTCCAGTTCGATACACTTGTCATACATTTCATCTGCTTTTCCAAACTGCTGCTGATCCGTCAGAGCCTAGGGGCCACAGAAAGAAGGATTTATTTCATCTTTAGTGTTGGGTGCATTGAAGTCTCCTAAAAGCATGTTACAGTTACCATTTATATGACACGAATTCAGCGGAAAGCAGTCAGTAAATTCCACGAATGTCGCTTTCAGCATGAGCTTATGCAATGTACAAAGATCTGTGCGATTTAAAGTGGACAAATCTGATGTCTGGTGGTGGGTAGTGAGATATGAGGAAAAACATCTGAAGAAACGGCGCCAATGAATTTGAAATATTGTTACTCCATGTGCCTATAAAAAATTCCACAACACACGCATGCACACAAGATATGCAGTGACTGAAAGTCTGCAGAGCGAAAATCGGAAACAACCGACAGCTCTAAACTGGGAGTCTGACTTCCATCTCTACAGACGGATTATTAGTGAGCTGTCCAGGAAGTGTCCATGCAGAGAGATGTGCAGATAGGTGTCCAGGCACCTATGGAAACACTGCGACGTGCAGATAGGCGCCGGGCCCATGTAAAGATGCCGTGATACCGAGCTAGCTACGCAGACAGAGTGGCATGCAGGCACATGACAAGGTGTGCCGACAGCCTACCTGTGCATACAGAGCATAGCCCTCAGCACACTTGGGGAACCTCCTGATGACATCTTCAAAGCCATTCATGGCCGTCTGCACCTGTGAGGGGTTGTTTCCAGTGTAAGCCTTTCGATACTGGGAAACAGGACAGAAGAGCAATAATTAACCAAGAAGTCCTTTGTTCCGCAAAACATAAACCCACTCTGAACTGCTTCTGACCGATCACCACAACAGGCAAGATAGCTGCACATCCTGCTACTGTGCAATCACGACGTCAAGTGAGATAACTATACATTTCTGGAGTGGACTTTCTGGACTCAAAACATCCTTCAATAGTTTCATTCTGCAAGACCTTTTCTGCTGTGAACCAGAGCCTGCTGGAACAGAGCTGAGAGAGCTAACCTGCAGCTCCACTGAGCAACAAATCTGATCGTTAAATGGGGCAGAAGGGAGAGCAAATTCAGTTCTCAATTAGTGTAATACATATGGACATATTTCTTTTGGAGTATTATAGTACCCTGAAACTATTCTGTAGAAACAGTCACAGCTCAGCAGAGGTATATTGTTTCTAAAACAAAAACTACTTGTTTTAACAACTCGTCTCCATTAAAATGTTCACAGAAACAAATGTAATTAAATGAAGTGGATCAACAAGCCCCCCATCCTGACATGAGATACCCGTGACTGTGCTGTGTGGCCGGCAGCACTGCTAGGGTCCAAACTCACCAGTGCAAAACACTTCTGAGCCTGAGCCAGCGCCGAGTCGGGCCGCAGGCGGATACACTCGTCAAAGTCCTCCACCGCCTCCTCCACCTGGTCCAGCAGGATCTTCAACTGGGGAGACGCACTCACATGGGTCAGGCTCACACACAGGGGGCAGCGGTGGGATACTCTTTCACAACTGAATCTTTACTCTATTCCATCACGTGCACCTCAATTTTCATCTTCATGAACTTAGAAATTAGTATTACTTATCACCTCAGAATCACAAGTAAGGGTAAGTCACCCCAAAACAGTAGTGCTCCCTATTTCCCTGCATTACATTTAAGCCCAAAGTATTAAATATATCCGCCTTCTGCCAATTAAAAACACAAAATACAGCAGATTATAGCCTTTCTCTGTGAAAAAGTCTCTTTTTTTCCCTGAACAGAACCACAGTGAGAGGTGAAGTAAAGAGCTGATCAGTCAGCAGGAAATGTAGTAGCAGCGAGAGCAAAAGGCAGGGCTGAACAGTTACAGGTGCGTGATGGCCGCAGGTGTCGATCAGCATGGGCAGGGCCTACCTGTCCCCGGTGGTGGTAGACGTCGGCGTTGGGCGGGTCGATCTCGGCCGCCGTGTTGAAGTCCTGTGTGGACAGCTGGGGCTGCTGCTGCTGCATGTACATGCTGCCGCGCTTGATCAGGGCGTTGGCCCGCAGCTGTCCAGCAGAGAGAGGGGGAGAGGAGGGGAAATGCATCAGGGCGAAGGGATCCAACAAGGCGCAGAGCAAAAGCGTTTATTTGATTGGCCACCTAGGCAGCAGAACAAACCAATCGACTCTAAAATACAGTCATTTTCAAGGGGTTTTTATAACCCAAGCGCAGCCATGGCCAACCTCATTTTGTTACCAGAAATGTCACGGTTAGGACAAAGACATAACATATATTTAAACACAGGAAACAAAAGGGAATACAAGTGGTGCAGGATTTTTTTTTAACAGCTTATCAAGAATTCTACCAAATGTCTGCAACTTTCTCCAGTCTCAGGTTTCAGTGTACACCCAAAATCAGTTTCCTAAAGCTGGGGAACGCATGTTAGCTACTGATCAATGCAAACCATTTTAACTAAGTGTGTCACTTTTTCAGGGTGTCAACATTATCTACGACGTTATCTACTGTATATACATCCAACCAAACCTGACACTGATGTGGCTATCTCTATTCTATCTAATTGCATCTCTGACATAAAAATGTGGATGACTCAAAACTTACTTCATCTTAACTGTGACAAGACTGAAGTCATGCTTATTGGCACCCCCCATCATCTTCGTAAAGCCAGCCCTATAACCCTATCTGTAGATGGTTCTGTACTTGAGCTTCAATCTAAATTGAAAAACCTTGGGGTTCTATTCGAGTCTAGCTTAACATTCGACCCAGTATGTGCAGCATACTGTCAAAACATATTTTTTTCACCTCAGAAATATCGCTAGACTACGCCCTGTGCTATCACTAACTGTGGCTGAAAAGCTGATCAACACATTTGTGTTCTCTCGAACTACTGTAATGCTCTACTCACTGGGGTATCTAAATCTACTTTGAACAAACTGCAGTATGTCCAAAATTCAGCAGCCAGAATCCTGACCACGTCTAGTGCAAATGATCACATTACTCCTATCCTGGAGTCCTTGCACTGGCTTCCGGCCAAATTCCATGTGGACTTTAAAATCCTCATGCTCACCTATAAGGCTTGGCATGGCTTGGCACCACAGTACCTGTCTGAACTATTATCACCCTTGTCCCCACCTCGCAACCTTCGCTCTTCTAATTCTGCTCTCCTTACTGTCCCCCAAGCACGTCTACATTGTATGGGTGACAGGCCCTTCTCTTGTTGTGCCCCCAAGCTCTGGAGCTCTCTCCCAAAGGATATCAGAGAGTCACCTTCTCTAAACTCCTTCAAATCCAGACTCAAAACCCTCTTCTTTAGAAAAGCCTTTACTTAACTGGTTCCATTCTTCACCCCTCTGCTTTTCTTAGTACCACCATCCACGGTCTCCTCTATATATTGTAATTGTGTTTTATCTTGTGTATTCTTTTTATTTATTGTTGTTCTCATTCTGTAAAGCGCTTTGAGAAGCCACCTTTAAAGGCGCTATATAAAATAAAGTTTATTATTATTATCTAGTCTTTAAAGGCCTGTGGCTGAGCCAGACATAACATCAAAGGCTATGATGAGAACTAAAAACTTCACTATCACGAGATGTTGAATCAATATGAAATAACAAATGCTTCCTTTAAGTGTTGTTGCCTTCCACCACCCTCTCTGCTAAAAAAAATGGGTGTTGTCAACCCCTGTTGGCGTGGGACGTTTTTGGGACATTATCAGTACGAGCAAGCGCCCAGTGAAACACTCCATGCTCTAAACACGCCATAACTGTCAAAACATTCCTGTTGGGGGGGGTTTATGTCTCTTTCTGACCTACTGTTTTTCCCACATGGCTGGCTACCTTGTTACACTGATACCACACAGTTCTCACTCTATTGACAACTGCGTAGAAAAAAGACCAAGACTTACAAAAGCAAACCGTGATCCACTGAGTTTATTTTACGCGAGTTAATATAGGCACGTGAAAAAAAAGTCAAGCGCAGTAAGATCCGTCTGCCCGAACACTTTTATGGCCAGATCAGCACTGCACTGTTGAAGTGATGGAATGAGATCACCTGGAGAGGGCAGCTCATCTCACCACAGGACAGCCATGCCTCCTGCCCTGCCAGCAACCCAGCTCGTGCGCACACCCCTCCCCCGATGGACGAGCCACAACATGGCTCCCGCGGTACCTTGACGTTGGCGTCCTCCATGTTGATGACCTGGTCGAGGTCCGGCCGAGCGGCGGCGGCGTTGCCGATCAGCAGGTAGAAGGTGGCGCGTAGCAGCAGCGCCTCGGCCAGGTGCTTGCCCCGGGACTCCACCTCCTTGGTGCACTCGCTGATGATCTTGTCATAGTTCTCCTCAGCCATGTACTGCTTGGCCTTCAGGTACCCAGAGCTGGGGAGAGGAGACGGTGAGCTGCTCAAACCACTCTCGCAGCGGTTGTAGTGCAAAAAAAAAATCAAATTATAGCAGGTTACAAATGGGAGGAGGATTGGTAGTTAGGAGCTAATTGATCCTACAGCTGTTTCTTGAAAGGAGCCAGGGTATCAGCTTCAATAACATGGCTGGGTAGCTTGCCCGACAGCCCCGCAGGCTTTTCAATAGAGAAGTGCATCTTGTTTTTAATGCACTTCTATGTAGATTCCACTTGTGTTCTCTCATTTGTGTGTTCATTCTGGAGATATCTCCTAGGTTCACGTTGTCAGCACCTTTGAGGAGTATGAATACTTCAGCACCCAACATCCCGCAGTCTTTTGGAAGCACAGAAATGCATTAGGCTATTCTCCTCTTTTTACAGGTTAACATGTAGTTAAAGGATTTGACAGCATTTTGACATTTGCACTGCTCTCTCTCATCCATTCATCTTCTTCCCACTTTTTTCAATTCAAGGTCACAGGGAAGCCAGAGCAAGATGTGCCAGTCCACTGCACGGCACACACAAGTACTCACTGCAGGGCCAGTATATCCAGAAGCTAATTAACCTACCAGCATGTCTTTGGACAGTGGGAGGAAACTGGAGCAGGGAGAACAAACAAACTTGCAGATAGCATCATAGCCCATAATTTATCCCAGGGCCCTGGATAACCACTGCTCCGGATAACCACTGCTCCACTGTGCTGCCTCCCTCTCTCCATAGGTGCTACTAAATTTAACTCTCAGAGCTCCCCTCCCTTATTCCCCCACATCCCTGACCTCTCGGTGACCTCAGCGGCCTCTCCCTCCTTGTCCTTGTCCTCATCTTTCTTCTCGCCCTTCTGCAGGGGCTGGGAGATGATGTCATCGGTGAAGGAGCCAAAGTAGGACTTGATGAACTGTGGGGATGGCATGAGGGGCTCGCGGTTCTGCAGAGGAAGCAGGAGGGGGGGGGGGACAATTCAGACAGGAAATAGCTCTTCAGATTTTCATGTCGGGTTTTTCTTCAATTTTTTGATTACAGATTATTTCTTTACAGAACACACTCTAAAATGTGAGGACTGCTATTAAATTTTGCTTATTTTTTCTTGTCTTCAAGGGGGCACAAATAGACTCCAATAATAGCTTTACAATAGTTTTCTAAAAGATCTGCAGCGCACACAGTCCGTGGGCAAAACTTGGACACAGATACATGAGAACACCAAGTGAGGGGAGGCCAATCAGTCCATCTACCCTGTTTGACAGACGGTTTGATGGCGGAAATGGATTAAAGGATCTCAACCAGATAGTTCTTGAATGAAGCCAGGATATTGGCTACTACAACATGGCTGGGCAGCTTGTCCCATAAGGCTGCACTGAGGGGACACACACACACCTTGAACTTTTCTTTCGCTTTCTCCTTCCCCAGCATCTTCAAGACCCGGTCTGCCAGCAGCATGCTTTGTTGGTTCTGGAAGGCCTCGAGTATGCACACGGCTGTTACGTCTGGGGAGAGCACAAGAACAGGGTGAGAGTCCAGCCCAGCACATGGCGGCCAGTCAAATGATCTAAAGGACAAAAAGGAATCTTTGAGGACGCCTTACATAACCCCCACAGAAGCATTACCGAAGGATAGGGAGAAAATGGAGGAAATGCCAAGGACTTGTTTTTGTCAGCAGTAATAAAAAGACTGCTGCAGTTAGTGCTGTGGCTGTGTCATTATTGAGACTGTCATTGCGTCATTCCCATTTCTATCTTTTCATGCATATGTGTTACTGTAAACATGTTTAATGCCTTTCAGCTGACAAGCAATGATGGCTGCTTTGGCCAACCTAGTAACTGGTAAGGCCAACAAAGCACGTGTAGCCCCAGGCCTGTGTGGCAGTAGATCAGAGGCCCTGCAGGTTATCCCTGAACAGGAGGAACCAGCTCCCCAGCTTTGCAGCTGTTTCTGCTGTCAAAGGACTGTTAATCTTAGTGACAGAGTATTGCTGAAATGTCTCCAAAGCTATATTCTCCTTTCTCCGTGGACCAATGTCAACGAGGAACGCAAACAAGCTGCTGCACCCCCGCTCTACTCTAAACCCATCTTAAACTTAATGCACAGTATCTGAAACACACAAACCCACAGAAAAGCAGAGGAAATTACCATCCCCTGTACAGTGAAATATGCCTCATGTGCACAGGGGTGTAACAATGCATCTAAGGAATTAAAAATCCATCACCTGAAGCAGGATAACATGTACACTTTTTAAATGATCAATACACATTTGCTACAAGTTGTGTCTGGGTTCACAGTAAAACAATGTGAGGAACAATGACTGTATTTGATCCACTCCAGGTTTCCAGGAGTGCAGTCCCTTGGGTTTGTTTTTCACCTTTTGTTCCTTTATTTTCATCTCATTTGCAGGAAGGAGCATGCGCCAGCAGTGACATCCAGTTCTGCTTCCTTGGATCAGTACAGTGTGCCTGAGAGCCCTGGAAAGGTTTCGGGACCTGCTTTCGGATTTGCACATCGGCCCATCAAAGGCAAGGGGGTGGGAAGGAGCAGAGAGCCGAGCAGCCCGGGTGCAGAGACACTACGCAGCCAAGACTCACCTTCCAGGCACTCCTTCCTGTTGTCCAGCTTCTCCTGGGCCTTGGCCCTGCGGAACAGGGCCTTGATGTAGCGTGGGTTAAGCTCCACGGCCTGCGAGCAGTCCTGCACGACCTCCGCCCACTTCATCTGCTGCTCGAAGGCGGCAGCGCGGTTCTGGTAGAAGGTGGAGAGGTCTCCCTTCTGCTCCTTGGGACACAGGCTGATGGCCTCCGTGTAGCACTGGATGGCCTGCTCATACTTGCCTGCCTTGAAGTACTTGTTGCCCCTGGTCTTGGCAGCTTGGGCGCGATCCAGGGGGCTCTGTGGGGGGAGAAAACAGTCCGTCAGACGAGAGATCCACGTGAGTCAACCATCACCCATCAAGAACTGAGGAGTCACGCCTGGACTCAGGAAGTGTCCTGAGATGATTAGCAATCAGAACAGGCATTAGTTAGTAGACTCTGAGAACTCGTAACTTAATATTATTTACACATTCAACTATAATAATATTGATTCTTGTTTTGTTTTATATGTAGAAAAAGCCAACACAAAAGCCCAAGGCTTGCTCCGTCATCCCGTATGTTTCTTAAAAAATGAATATTGTGTAACAGACAGAACGGCATCAGAATTGGAGATACAAACGCAAAGTATTTCGAATGCTGTTGGTTTCCCTGATTGTTGGAAATTGTACTTAATTACAAGCGGGATAAATGTATAAGCCATTATTTGCATGTGAAACAACGGGTCCCACTTTAATGTGTTTTTCTCCATGATGAGATTCAGTTCAATGAATTTGGCCAAAACAAATAATCCACTTAACCGCCTGAAGCTGTTGGCTCTGCTTGCAGTTGGTGCCCTTTTAAACCTGGACAATCATACAAGTGTTCTGTGGATGGCCCGCAGCTGGGACAGTCCTTGATTCAGCTCCAGTGCCTTTTCAATTCTTAAAACACAGCACATCTCATAGCAACAACCTGGCAGCAAAAAAAAACAGCCCATAAAACCATCTTCTTTGAGGAGTACACTCAACTTGTTTAAATATAAATGTGGAACTAATATAAGCTTACTGTACTTACACTTTAAGAAAAGGGAGCTAATATACAACGGTACTGAGCAGCAGCTGCAGCTTGCAAACTGCCTGCCATGTGCAGTTAATTACACATCGGGCAGAGATTTCAGCTCCATCAAGTCTTTTTTTTTTTACCAAGCTACTTTTGATAAAGAAGAGGATTTTTAGAACTGTGTGACACTCCATCCTCCTGATAACACGGAAAAAAGCAACGTATCTCCTATCCAGGGATACTTAGGGCAATGAGACTGCACCCCAAAATCTCATGCTCTGAGATGCACAGGTGCAACCGACAGGCCCCCCAGCACCCCATCAGCAAGGAACGTAGCACCCACAGCTCCCTGGAATACACCTCACCCTACACACCCTTCTGCCCAGATGCCACAACTGCAGAACTGGTGTATAGCCCACTAGCAAACTGGAGGGGTTGCTCCAGCTCCTAAGGGCTCTTCTGTAGCTCTGGCTGTAGTCGACTGCAGCACTCTTCAAATCCATATTTGCTGCCCTGATCCTGGCAATATTGAGACTCCAGTCTGTACACTTCCTCAATGTCAGTTTCACACTGTGACCTTAATTTGAAAAGACATCCCATTCACAGTTCTGCAAAAACTATTGCTTCCTCTCTCCACAGAAACACATTTGTAATACATGCACATTAATAGAAAATCACAACTCCCTCTCCGAACAAACATCTCCTGACGTTTCCAATCGCACTACAGATCAAAGGGCTTCTCGATGAACTACGACTGACAGCTCTGGTCAATCATGCTGGTGATCGAGCCCCCTAATTTTGTTACAAGCCACATGCTGTACCAAGCAAGAGCTCCCCCATCAACTCCACACACACCCACGATAAGGGCTGTTAGAGACACAGTAACTTGGAGTAGAATCATTACAAGAATGCCTCGATGAATCACGGCTGTTCGAGAAATCTAAAGACTAATCCTGAGACGGTTCAGCCTTCAGCCTGTTATGGCATCGTTTCTGTAAGTTCAGCTACTCTTGTGCCCCAGTGATTCAGACACCCTGGACATTTGGAGTCCATTCCCTGCGGTACCATCAGAGGCTCTTACAACTCTGCATAAATCAGTGCAAACAAATGTGGTATCTAGAGGACTGCGGCTGTAAAGCTCATCACATTATAGAATAATCACTGTAATCCTGTCTACCCCCACTGTGTCTCTGCTCTCTCACTGTGAGGAGAGTAACTGATAGGATCAGCCAATTACTGAGGATTCACCAGCCGTGAGCAAAACGGTAGAGATCTGTGTTCCCCCATTGCACTTATTCACAACCAGAGCTTGCAAGTATCTCAGGAGTGGCACCTCCCAACAGCTTTCACAAAGGATCACACAGACGGCTGGGTGTCACAGACACACAAGCAATGCCCCCACCTTGCTCGTAGCCCTCCCTCACTCTTTCTCCCCTGAAAGAAACGACAATTGCAGGCACTGGCACTATAGGACAACACTTCTGCTCTGCTAGAGGAAGAAACAGAAGTGTCAACTTCCCCTTGTGAAGACGATTCCCACTGTGAAGGCTCAATTTGCAAATTTTTTTTGACTAGACACTATAAAAGGATTCCAGCAACCCTCCCCAAGATGCACACAAAAGTGAAAATACAGCAGGCACATGTCCTCCTGTGAATCGCACTGTAGACACCCAAATCACACCCACTTTCACACTGCCAGAGCACCTCTGAACTCTGCCCCAGGCTGTGCCTACACCGAGTTTCAGCACAAGAGGCACACAACGGTGCATAATCACAGGTTCAGTCACCTCTACATGCAGCACTTCTATTTGTCGTGTCTTACGATAGATAGACAGAAATGCACAATCTGCATGCAGGAGGGCTTTGAAAGAATAAACTGGTTCTCAATCTTTTCCAGAAGCAGAATGCAAATCAAGTCTTCAACTGCACAGCCAGAAGCTTGGTAAAATTTTGGAATGCTGCACAGAACGCAAGGCCTAGTTTAAGATTTAAGATTGGATATTGTATGCATCTACACAGCAGGAAAACAGCTCTTCTCTGAGATATCTTACCAACACCAGCCTTCACGATGCCAGAAATGGACATAACTGCTATGCAATGGGAGTCTTTTTTTCTTGCTATGTGAAGGAGAAGCTTTTTTTGGAAAGTAAAACAAGGTTCAAATGATGGCTCCTATCTTTCTCGCTCCCAGCAGCTGTCAAGTTCTGGTGCTCTGCAAAGATTTCCACTTCATTTCAGGATCGGCTTTGCTCTCTGCCGCCGTGAATTACCTGAACAAAATGATTCGGCACTACGTTCAGGGGACTTTCAAACGAAGCTCCTTCGTACCGTGTAGCAGCAGGTACATCGTAGGTCGTGAGAATATTTTCATTTTTTTCCTCCGAATAAAAACAGGCTTCCCAGCATTCCAAGTAATTTTGACAATCCCATGCTGAAAAAGGGGAGCTTTTTTAATCGACATAAAATAAAGCTCACGTTCAGGATTTATTTTAGGGGTAGAAACACGTCAAATAGGTTTTTCATGTAGCAGGAGGTTCCACGAGTAAATCAGAGATCAATAAAACCATGTATCACAAAATAACTGTTGCGCCGGCTGCCAATGCGTGTTAATAGACACGGCACCCCAGAGACACCCACATCTCTCGCGACACATGGCTTGTTAAAAAGCACACGCTGTCCACCTGCGCCACTCCCAGTTTCAGTCACCGATTCGGCCAAAAATACACCAAGACGACAGCCCCAGAGCAAAAAACCAGAAAGCACACAAGAGCACAGGTCGGACGTCAACCCATGCAGGCAGGCATGTGTCCTTGAACGATCTTTGCAAAAGAAGGGTGCCCCCAATAATCGCTGCAAGACGGACCCCATCACGCCGCAGGGGCGGGAGGGGCGCGGGCATGGGGGAACCCCTGTTCCGGCCAACCTACCAGGTCCTCTTGCTCTTGTCCGGCTCGGTTCGCTGCGCCGTCCTGCTCAGGCCGGCCCGTGACGGGGCTGGCGCTGCCTTCTGGAGTTGTCCTCTCCCCGTTGCGCTTGCCCTGGTTCACCTTCCTCCGGGTGCGATTCCACAGATACACGGCCCCAACCCCCAGCACAATGGGGGCCCCGACCAGGAGCGCCAGCTGCCACCGGGGCAGACCACTGCCAGACTGCGGCTCGACAGGCTTTGAGGCCGCCATCGTTTACCAAGCAACAAGCCACAAGCAAGCACTGCACCGCTTACCCTAGCAGATCAGAGCTGGACTCCTCTGCATCATGGGATACTGGCGGGGACCCTGCAATCCAATCCGGGGCAACAGTGAATGAGTTGCGTCATTTCCGCTCTTACCCCAATTCCAGAAGGGACATGCGCAGTTCAGGCTGGGAAGTGGTTGTGTGTGCTGAGGAGGTTTTTTATTTTTCTCTGTTGTTTGGAATTTATATATTATCACAACAACTGTATATATACAATGCATGATATATGTATATATTTATCAATGTATAATAAAGGGTTATACTCTGAATATACGATCTTCGGGGTACATAATACAGTTGTATTTTACAAAAAAAGACTGAATGAGGTAAAGGTACTCACAGCTTTCATATTCTCACATTTAGATAAATAGTCTGGTCTCTATTTCATATTGTTTAAATGTGTCTCTTCCCAGACCATTTCATTTTATGTGTATAATATCGAGCATTTATTAAGTCAATGACAATTGTTTTGTATTTTTTTCGGTGGGATTAAAAGTAACATAACATCTTTTTTCCTGAAATGTCAAAGTTAGAATCCTTCTTTCTATAAATTTTCAAACCCAAGTGAGGGTCTTGAGTAATGGGACCCATCCTG